AATCCACCTAAGCTTTAACTGTTATCAGTGATATTAATGCTACCTTAATAACGACAGGTAATAAGTCCCAGATAGTTTCTAAAATCACAAATTAGTTTTTGTGCTAATTGCTGATAGAGGGTATTAATGAATTCAAGCCCTCGATATTTTACATTTTTACTGTGCAACGGAACCAGTGATAAAAAAAAAAACTAACACCGAATTTGATCGAGGCAACAATCATCAGCGGTATATTCAAATGGGAAGATGTGCGTCTTGCATTTGCAATAACTATAAATAAAGCACAAGGGCAATCATTAACTATAGCGGGTTTGGATTTGAATGTGCTTTTCATGTGGCCAATTATACGTCGCCTGTTCACGAGTTGGGTCACCACAAAATTTATATATTTACACACCAAATGAAAAACTTAAAATAGGCGTAATCAAGATACAATAATTTTTAGAAGGTAGTTTCACTTCTTCTTATCCGCCATGTTAGCTATCTGACAGAAAACGTGTTTCGTATTTTTTGTTGTACCAACTTTTTCAAAAAAAAAAAATCCAGCTTTTGACGTTGGAAAAATAAAACAAAGAAAAGCCAAACATATAAGTAGAGAAATTTTCGAATATTTTGTTAAAATTGGCGGCCGATAAAGTCCGTGGTGTGCGATGGATCTAATCCATCATAAACAAGAAATATTGCTGTTATATTTTCATTTTTATGATTTTTATTCATGTGATTAGCAGTGGCAAAAATGTATGTATAAAATACGTATATTTATATTAAAAATTAAGTGATCAGTTATGAAACATATAAATCTTTACATGTTCTGTTAAAAAATATCTAAAATAACAAGCGATAATCCCCAAGTTCTATATCGTAGCAGTGGCCACATTGCGTGTTTGTCACAGACACGGTTTATGTCAAAAATTTTGAAGTGAAACTACCTTCTAAAAATTATTGTATCATGGGCGTAATCTTTTCCTATACAAGTTACAAAAGAATGCTCGTTTAAATATTTATTACATGTAAAGCAACAACACAACTCGCATATATTGGCCAAGTTGATTCCAACTCGTATAACGATATACGACTTGGTGTGAGGTGCTGCCAAGTTCAGTTATGACACTATTGTGATTGATTATGGAAAGAACTTGGAAACTTTCCATTTAAAAGTCAAAATATATTTTTTTTTTAAAAGAAGTAAAATAAACAAAAAGGCGAATTCGAAATATTTTTTCATTCATGGAAGATATTTTTTTAAAGTAAAATAAACCAAAAGGCAAATGGAGCAAGAGTAAGTAAAAATAAATTTTATTTTAAAACTTATCAAATAAAAACAAATTTTTTCCAGAATTGAAAGGATTAAGAGGAGAAGGTAGACGCGGGAGGAGACGGAAGGTTTTCTGGGGTGCTACTTAGCTCGCAAAGCCGAGTTTGAGCACCCGAAAAATAAGCGACTGGCGTATGCAAATGTGTTGGAGGACATGTTGTCCTTCGGAGGTACGGTGCGTAAACAGTTTAATGATAATTTTAATTTAATCAAAAATAAAAGAAAATTACCAAATTATCAGGATTCAGAAAGAATACCGCTGTGTTTGGAGTGGAGGGTGCGCACTAGACTGGGTCGAAAAAAAAAGTTGCTAATGTCCGCCCCTAAATTTAAAGATTATGTTGAGAGGGTTCTGGAAAAATTTTTTTTTTTTTTTAACCCTCCGAAATACAGCCGAAATGGTTTTTTCGTTGTAACTTGGTTATTTGACGGCCGATTTTTAAAATTGATATGTCATTATTTTTGTCTTGAGAAGCTTCACTTTTCGTTCTTATGTCTTTTTAAGCTTTGAAGTCGCGTTCGCATGATAAGGGCAGAAACAAAATTTTACCCCCCCTAAAGTATATTTTTTTCCTTACCAAACGAAAGTACTTAAAAATTCAAGAAAATGTTGCCTTCAAACTATATTACTAAAATAATAAACAAAGGAGTTATAGCACTTTTAATATCACAGGTCAACATGAGTTTCAGATGTAAGTATAATAACACAGTACAACAAAAATTGATTTTTTTTATGCAACAGAGTAACCTAAATTTAAGGATTATGTTGAGAGGATTTCGAAATTTTTATTTTATTTTTTTTTTTAACCCTTCGAAATACAGCCGAAAAGGTTTTTTCGTTGAAAGTTGGGTATTTGACGGCCGATTTTTAAAATTAACATGTCATCACATTTCCTTTTAAGCTATGAAGTCGTTTACCCATGGTTAGGTGAATGCGATGAATATCTCGCTAGTAAGAGCCCCGGTCCCGTCAGTACAGCTCGGTGGCTTACAACAGCTTCCAGGTTACTTCGGGTATATGTTTCCAAAGAAAGCCCGTCAGCGGAGTTGCGAAACATGGTAGAGTTTGTTGTGAAAGTTTATGCACCATTCTGGTTTCTTGTAAAGAGCCAGCCACAAGCAATTCATGGAAGTAGACACGTTTTTAAGTATATTTGCTGGATACGCGAACTATCAAATGCTGTTCAAGCCATTATACGTTCAGCTATAGAAAATAATGCATATTATTTTCACCCAGAAAATATATTATTAGCCATGATAACCGACGCTGATCCAGAGATACGTAATGATGGGTACGAAAAAATCAAAACAGCACGTCAATATCCACCAGCAGGGCTTCGCGTGTTCAAGGTCCCAAAGCGTGGCGTAATAAACTTTGAAAGTAAGTCGTATGTCAGCATGATCGATTGGAGTCAGTTTAAGATTACGGAACCCCCTTGTGTGCAGTTCTACCCAGATAGTGAACTTACAATGTTTCAATTTTCGGAAAATGAAGTGATAAATATCCCAGGTAAATATCTTCAAACTAAAAACTTCACGGGTCTTATAGTACTTTTAAATAATTTTTTTTTAGAGTTCCTCTGTCATTCCCAGAATACCGAACGGTTTGTGCGTGTTGTTAGTGAGTCTGCAAGTGCTGTCACTGATGAAAAGCGCCTGGGCCACATTTTTGCAAAATTAGAAAGCCGAGACCAATATAAAAGCCTTGATTCGCGCCAAAATTTGCTTAAGTAGCAATAAATATTGTAAGTGAAATAACTTTTTTGTTGATTATTTTAGTAATATAGTTTGAAGGCAACATTTTCTTGAATTTTTAAGTACTTTCGTTTGGTAAGGAAAAAAATATGCTTTAGGGGGGGTAAAATTTTGTTTCTGCCCTTATCATGCGAACGCGACTTCAAAGCTTAAAAAGACATAAGAACGAAAAGTGAAGCTTCTCAAGACAAAAATAATGACATATCAATTTTAAAAATCGGCCGTCAAATAACCAGGTTACAACGAAAAAACCATTTCGGCTGTATTTCGGAGGGTTAAAAAAAAAAAAAAAAATTTTTCCAGAACCCTCTCAACATAATCTTTAAATTTAGGGGCGGACATTAGCAACTTTTTTTTTTTTGTATGGGGACCGACCCAGTCTAGTGCGCACCTTGCTGCAGGCATACAAGTCAGCAAAGGACAACAACAGTCGCACAGGTTCTTCCCAATGTTTCGCTCCATACATGGAGATAAAAGTGTGTTTGCATTGTTCAACTTTGCGTTCAACATTTGCGTTCAACTCAGCGCAGGGTTGCACGAAAAAAAGTTGAATGGCTAAAAATATCAAAATATGAAAAAATATCAAAATATTCGCCATAAAAAGGTGTTTGCATTGTTCAACTTTGCATTCAACTTTTGGTTGAATGGCCTTTCAACTAATCGCTTTCAACAAAGTTGGTCGCCAGCCAACATTTAGTGGTGAAGTCGATTCATTTTTATTAAAAACAACAAAGCCCGAGTAACAAATATTTTGTGACAAAAATCACAATAATTCCAATCCGTTTTCGTTTCTCCTTCTCTTTAAATTACAGGCTATTCCAGTGCGGCCATAGCAATGTTAGTCGAGTTGGAGCGTTCTTTTGCAGCTCGTTTACCAAAAGATGAGGGCTAATATTGTTTATCTGTTAGCCTTAACGTAAATAAAAAGGTCTTCAGTTTTAAAACTCTATATACATGTGTCTTTCTTTGGCGTAGCAACGCGCGCCGGGTATTGCTAGTTTGTTTATGAATTACGAATAAACCAGAAATTACGATAATTTGAAAATGCTTTAAAAATACTTTTCCTGATCAAAATTTTCAAATCGCTTAAATGGAAACCCCGAAAATGACGCTCGATAATGTTTTTTTTTTTACTCCCTAGATGAATCCATTTATGTACATATGACCATACGTCATGTTTTTCCATTTTATTTACCGACTCTACACTTTTTTTAATGGTTTTGTTCCTTTTACATTAAAATAATGCGTTATTTTAGCTGCTATTAATTTTGCACAGAAAAAGTAATCATTTGACCTAATGTGCAAGCAGAGAAAACCTTCGAATCCTTCATCGAAATTAAAAAAACGAAACAAAATTTGTGTTTTATTACAGAAGTTATTGCTGCAACCTGTTATTTAAAAATAAAATATTTATAGCTAATTTTAAATCTGAATATAACATGTAACTCAAGTCCATATTTTTTAATAGGTCCTTGCTAGGAAAAAATTCCTAAACTGCAGATCGGAAAATTACTGCGTTGCGAGTAAAATTTTCAACAATTTGAATATGTCAACTTCTTAAGCAATTCTCACTTGATTTCACTAAAAATACACAAAAAATCATTAAAGCACGCTTTATTCCCTAAAGAATGATACCAAACACTTAGGGCTGTTTTTCACTATGTCAAATTCAGTGGCATTTGTCGTCAAATAAGTGGAAACACATTGTCAAATGGGATTAAAAAGCGGGTTTCCGATTAATTTTGATCAGGATAGGTCTTTAGTCGTGTTACTGCGCTGCTAAATCGGCTATCTGTCAGTTTTTGGCCCATAGATAAAGGATATAGAGCTGTGTCAAAATATGTCTTTATGTTATTTACAATTAAAAAATAAATTTATGATCAGCCTTTGTACTAGCTCGATCCATAGTGCGAAGTTGCCTCAAAATTACTTCAAATTTAACAACAACATTTATATGCAAACAAACGGGCTAGGCATGGGCAACCCCACATCGACGATCTGCATCTGAGGTTCCCAAACTTTTTTTCTCGTAGCCCCCTTTCAAAAATTTACTGGTCTCGGTCGACCCCCTGCTGATACATTTCTAAATATTCCCAAAGCCCGTAAAAAAATTAAATGTGAAAACTAGATCTAACAATGTAAATTTCATATATGTAATACTTCTATATTGGCAGTAAAGCTAACTTCTCAATGTGTAAGCATTCCGAAATCAAAGCGAGACAGTCTGGTACCGTTTTTGTCAATGTATTGTTTACTTGAGCGCCGTTTTTGTATATGTGTTGTGTACATGTTTATTTATAAACGTATGCGTTCCTTTTCTTTCGTACGTGTTTATTGATATATCTGTACTGTAGTGTTTTCGGACGGTACTAGCTCTTACCGCCAATATAGGAGTATTACATATATGGTAAATTTGCATCGTGGGCGAATTCAAAAACTAAACTCAGAGTGGCCAAAATAAAAGTAAACAAATTTCTTGTGTTCTTTTTTTAAAAATAATGTGATTACACACTTGTAGATTTAAAAAAATAGAGCTCGTAAATACATCAAAATACTCCCTCGCTCGGAAGAGTTATATTTTTTACGAGCACTGCGATCGCTAGCGTTATTTACATTATCTTCACCATAAACTCATCAAATGTTCGCCTCTCTCATGACTTCCCTGCAAACCAAAGTTCCCGAAATCTTAAGGAAATCGTTAGGAGTATCTCATTTCTGTAACGATTTTTTTTACGAATTTTCAAAGAAAGTTATATGAAGTGGTTGACACGAACGCGTAAAATTTCTGTACGAAAAATAAAGAAAAGACTGGAAAAATTCTGAAAGATATTCTTCACATAGCACCATTATTTTCGTTGCTTCACAGATTTTCTTCCTAAATTTCGTAAAAGAATGGAAGTGTGCGTAATTTATTTCATTTTAGAAAATTCGGCAAAAAATCGAATTAAATCTTAACGAATTCTTTAAAATTTCTTTACATTGCAGAATATTCTGAAAAAATGGTTTGCAGGGTTTGCACGTGGAGTATATGTTAAATAGTTTATTTTTGTTAATGCCATCATTCTTATTTTTATCCTCCGAGTTTTAAAGTGAGGCGAAAAATATTTGTCACATTTTTAAAACACAAAACTTAAAATATCAACACGGCTAAGCTTTTTACGCCAAACTTTTAATTCAGAAACTGACAATAGAGGTAATAACGAGTTTAAAAAAGTCGATGGCAAATAAACAAGCAAGCGAGAAGCACAAGAAGTGTTCCACCGTCTCATCTTCTTCAAGGCAAGATGGGCAAATGGACTTGCCATTTACGCCTATAACAGTCAGCTGATTGTTCCGCGTAGTGACCAATCAGCAGTCCACCAAGTTATCTGCAGTGTCGTCTGCTCAGTGAGAGCAAAAAATTAGATAAACCTTGTGAGATTGAAGGCAACATGAGTTTTTCCCACCGGTGACAGGTAATAAGATCAACGGAAAAAAGTCAATTGTCGCACCAGGGTGCGAAATAAAGTCAATTGACATTATTACCTTTTTAAAAACGAAATAAAATCCGTTGACATTATTTCTCTTTCAAACATTAAATTTGCTTAGCTTCGCGGCGGCCCGCGTCAGCGCGCCACACCACGTCACGCTCCGCCACGGCCCCACGGCCCCCCATCTCCGTCTCCCGCCGTGCTGTAGCGCAGGAAGATTTATTTTTTGTATACGTTGAAATAAAATTTATATATATTTTAAACATCGAGGGCTTATATTCAATAATACCTTCTATCTGCACACTTTTCACAAAGATGAGATTCTGATATAAAAATCCACCTAAGCTTTAACTGTTATCAGTGATATTAATGCTACCTTA